TCTTGTCAAACTCAATATTATAAAGCAGTAAAGCACACACCATTCTACTTGCGCTCTATGCTGAAGTATTGGGGGCCATGGATACTTCAAAAAGGGTTTCATGGTGTGAGATTTATTGCATGTATAGCAACCAACCCCAAACAGATAGGATAGAACAGTACAGTAAATCCCTACTGATTTGATGATGAATAATATATATATATATATACATATTTTTAGAGGAGAGGGTTATTGCATTACTACCATGTTGCTTGGGTAAAACCGCTCACAAGTGCTGGACTTTCAGACGCGTCTAATTCTCCCTTCGCCGTTCGGCGACGGGGTCGTATTACAGCTCTAGCGGCCGCCGCAGTGCTGGGGCTCCGGATCCTTCCAGTATTTCAACATAGCCATGGAACTTTGGTCCATTTGAATCCATTTGATATCATTTAATTATGTAGATATCTGTAGATGATATAAATGATATAGCCGGATATAGCTATGAAAACTTGCCATTCAGAATGGGCCAGTGATCCCCGACTTTCATACCGACCCATTGGTGACCGATCGCCCTATTCTGGGACGCCCCTCTTGGGATTGGGATGGGCAGCAGTAGCCGCTAGATTAACATTTCCACAGGCATCAAAGAAGTGCCGGGACGAACTAGATCGCTGACCAGCGAGAAAACGCGACGCAGCTCTCTTGAGGAATTTGACATGAGTGAGGTGACCCATCCCAAAAAATGGGGTTGGTAATTTTGAGCCATAGGGATAGATAGCCATATTTGTCATTGTTGATTTGCATGTCCATGGAACATGTTCCTGCTTTTAAGAGGGTGTGTGTGAGGATAAGGCCTGGTGCTGAAATTTTGGCCAGCCAAAACCTGACGACATGTCAGATAGTAAACCCAAGGAAAAGATGGGTTGTTGGCGTGGGGTTCTGACGCTATACCAAAGGCATTTGCAAAGATAGTCGTTTTCACAGCTGCAAAGATGTCAATGGCTTAGGATTGCTAGAAATCAACAACCCTACAGAACCCGCAAGAAAGCATGCTAAGCATCAGCAAGTACTTGATCGCTACATCAGGCTGGCCCTTGAAGTGTGCCAACATCATTATTTGATTCACAATTTGTTTGGAAGTTGGTGACTCGCGAAAAAACACGAGCGGGAAATTGTCCAAATTATGTTTCGGTTTAAGTGGGCCTCCCTGTGTCCTTCTCTTCAGCGGGTGCCCTACCCGAAAAGATTTCGGGATTTCATGACCATGTTCCATTCCCAGAAGGTAAGCAGCTTGCTGGTTTCTGGTCAGCAGATACGTTGTGATTTGTGTTGGCAGACGCACAAATGTGCCGCGCAGCCGCGCAGCCGGTGGTTCATGACCATGGTTTTTGCTAGCAAGGACCCATGGCGAGAAAAGCATTCACTAGTGATACCCTCCCCATGTGCTCTAGGTATGGCAAGCTTTATACCTTGGGGAGTGTTTTTTTGTAAACATAGGTAGTCATAGGTAGATGAGGGGGCAAAGGGCTGCCATAGGTAGTCCAGCCTGGCGGCGCCCATTGTGCCGGCCCAAAATGCTGAGTGGGCCATGAATGGTGTTTTGTGGATAGAATCATGCACATTCAGGTAAGTGAAGATGATGGAAGATGTGCAAATATACAAAATACACTGTGCATGTGTATACATATATATATAATATGCATATGGGGTACATCATATATGGAGTATATCCCAGTCGTGGTGGCTACTGCCGACCAATTCGCTGTACCACGTACGTGATGGCTGGCGCGACCAAGGCTCGCAGGGAGTCACCTGTAGTGAAGCACTCCCTGGATTGGATAACGGGATACTTTGCAAGGCCTCTAAATTTCGTAGATCTTATTATGATCTTATCAACATTGTGATGTAGCCTCTTGTGGTGAAACCAATGGCATTCAAATCATTTCGAATTGAGGAATTAGTGCAGCTCCCTAGTGCTCGAAATACCTGAGAGAATATCGGACGATGTTTGGAACTGAGCCACAGATTTACTGCCGCCAGGGTTTTGACCCATAGCTGTCATTAGCCATTTGGGTTTGTCTGAAACTTAATGGGAAAACAACCAATTTCGATGGTTGCTCATCATTTCCCGTATTAAAATTGCCATAGATGGGGGCTGATTGGGGTACTGTATCCCCCATTTCAGACAGACCCACATGTCACATACAGTGGATGGAAGAAACCCTGCACCAGTTGCTATGTGGTTTCTCCCAGGATTTATAGCGTTTCAACATGTTTCAACCATCCAAGGTGGTGTAGGATTTTTTGAATCCACAATATTGTTGAATCGTATTGGTCATCCATAGAGGTTTCCTAAGTTATGCGGGTAGCCCCAAATCATCCAAGTCATGGATGCCCATTTTAGTATCGAAATAACCATGGTGACTTGGGGATCCCTTCAATCCAAGAAACCATATATATATATATATATATATATGTATATATACATACTGTATATATATATATATACATATACATACTGTATATATATACACGCACGTGCACACACACACAAACATATATACAATCATATATATATATATATACACCAGTAGTACCCGCACGAGGCGGGGCGGAAGTTGCCTTAGGGTATACTATAAGACCTTTCTCATCTATAGAACTTGCATGCGCCGTGCGCCAGCGGGCCCGTGCGTGCGTGTTTTGTTTCCAAGCTGCTGCGCTGCTGTCCAAGAACAGGACCTGCGCGCGACCCCGGTGCAATGCAACGCCAAGTGACCACTTTTCTCACTCTTCGCACTGCATTCTTCACACCCCGCACTCCACACTTCACACTTGCACATCATCTCAGCTCATCTCATCCGAGCTCTTCTCATCTCATTTCATGTCTTCTCATTTGTCAGCTAAGTTCTCCATCTCCGCACACAGACACAAGGTACCTTTCATCGCCGGCTGCAGCCACTTTACACGGAAAAACAGAAGGTTTCGTGCTCCGGCTTCCTCCCCAAAACAAAGCCCATTCAACAGTCATGCAGCCATTACAATGCGTTTTGCAGCAACATGTGCACATCCATGCGGCCATTACAATGCGATTTGCATCCACATGTTGCAGAACACCAAGGGAGAACCGATTACGCCCGAAACGATCCAAACCGCAACCGCCGCACACACACACAAGGTACCCTTCAGATTCATCGCCGGCTGCGGCCACTTTACACGGAAAAACAGAAGGTTTCGTGCTCCGGCTTCCTCCGCAAAACAAAGCCCCTTTCACAGTCATGCAGCCATTCAATGCGTTATGCAGCAACACGTGCGCATCCATGCAGCCATTACATTGCGATTTGCATCCGCACGTTGCAGAACACCAAGGGAGAACCGATCACGCCCGAAACGATCCAAACCGCAACCGCCGCGCACACACAAGGTAACCCCTTGACATTTGCCAGTTCCCTTCGTCACCACTTCCCTTCGTCACCACTTCCTTTTTCACCACCCTGGTCATAGCCACCATTTCCCTTGATGTGTTGTTATTGGATGTAGCGTTCTGTGATGTAATGTTATATGATGTCTTGTTTTGTGATGTATTGTTATGTGGTGTAAAGTCTCACACCACCCTGCGTGCATGTATTGTTTTGTGATGTAAGGTATCACATTTCTATTTGTCCGTAGCTCGGAAGATTGCTTGCCAACTTCCTTTGATATAATAGTCCGTTAGTACATTGCAACCCATGGTTTGGGAATCCATTTTAAGAACGCCCAGGCGCCTCGGACCTCCGGGAACGATGAAGCCCAGGCGGCGTTTTGCGGAACGACTTGCGTGTGGTGATGAATGATTAGCCTCTGGTAAACATACAAAAGACTATGGTAAATCACCATGTTTATATGATGATTGATGATGATTATAACATGCTAATCAATGGTGGTTAAGTATGATTAATTGTGATTAATGGTGATTCATGATGATAATTGATGATTAATGGTGATTAATTGTGGTTAATGATGATTCATGGTAATCAGTGGTGATGAATGGTGAAACATGATGATCATTCTAGTGATTCATGGTGATTAATGGCGTCCCCGGGGTTCATCATGATGTATCTCACGATCAGATGAAAGTGGATTAATCGTGATTAGTGATGAGTATATAATGATGATTAATGACGATCACCCTCTGGTAATCAAACGTGGCTGGTTGGGAAACCCTCTACAAATGGAGGGTTTGATGATGTGAAATGGTAAAATCATGGCACTAGATAACGGATTGCCGAGCCAGCGATGTTTGATTACCGGAGGGTAGCAGGTCAATGTTACCATCGATAGTAGTGATAATCCAGAATTACAGGCTTAAAATGAATCAGTCGGACGGTTTGCGCATTTTTTTATAGGCTTAACTTATACATAGTTGATAGATGTTGATAGATGAGATTGAATTTATTCAAGTAAGTTGCATGTATTGATATATTGGGAACATGGCGAACCCGACTCTACTACTCAACGCATACTGTAATTGAACAATCCCTTCACATGATAGCCGGCTGGTGAAGATCACAGAAATTGATCACTTTGAGTGTCATCTACTTCTATGGTTCCCAAGTTTGTTTCGATTTTTTTCAGCCACCTGTTTGGGAGGGGTTCCATCGCGGAAAAAGGTCCTGAGGGCCACACTGGAGGATCCCTGGGTGGGTCGACTGGTGAGTTGTGAAAAATCGCATTTGATGGAGAAACACCTCAATTCCCACTGTAAATCATCCAACAACGCAGTTTATTTGGGCCTTCGAATTTTATTCCAGAGAGAAAAAACAATCAGCTGATCATGGCAGTTCCCTAGCCATTCCACTAGACTCACTAGACCTTCAGTTTTTTTTGTTGGGGGGGTGTGTTTTGGGGGAGGAATGAGAACTGCAATTTATACACAGCCACTCGAAGTTCAACTTTTTGCAGGCTGGGGAACCTGCCACCTGATGACTTCAGCTCAGACTCTTCGAAGCCTCTTTCGGTTTAACTATTTTAGCCGTTGGCCGCCAGTTGTAGTTCGGGGCGTGGTACACCCGAGCTGACGCCCTCTCGGCAGATTGAGGACCAGTTCCGCGCTTTCAATTGGTGACTGGGTTGTTAAAACGCTCAAAAAATACCCATATATATATATATATATCTGATTGGTGGTTTGGAATATTTTGAATTTTTCCATATATTTGGAATGATAATCCCAACTGACTAATATTTTTCAAGATTGTTAAAACCACCAACCAGATATATATATATATATATATATTAGTGTAATTATTATATTTGGGAGGGGTGAGCGAATAAGGTCTTGTGTTGGCCTGTGCCGGGGCAAAAGGGTACCAGGTTTTTTTTGGACCCACCAATTGGTGAAGGCTGGTGATGCGTATTGCTCATCCGTATATTTTGTTGGCCCCAAAATGGAGAATATAAATAAATAAATATATATATATATACATATACATATCTATTATATATTATATGTATATTGAAAAAATAGAGAGAGAGAGAGAAAGAACATATGAAAAAGCAATGGCCAACTGAACTTCATTTCTTTAGGGAGCTCAGATTGGTGTATAGGATTTGCACCAAATTTGGCAACAAATTCGATGCGCCCTCCAATATAAAATCATAGGTAAAGAGCATCCGTGTTTTCCCTATGATCTAAATATCAATGGTTGGTCTTCCATGTCGATCATGTTGGAGGGACACCGGAGGGGGCTTCTAAACTCTAAACCACCATCAGCCATCGGCATCCGATGAACAAAGTACCCGAAAGACCAGGCCTTTGTGCACGAATCAACTCATTCCGTGGATTTGCTGAGTCGTTGTTTTCTTTTGGAAAAAACACCAGAAATAGAGAATCTATAATCTGTCTATATCTGTCTATAGTTTTTTTTTTGCGGAGAACCCTATAGCAAATTCCATGGGTTTTTTGATTTCCAAAACCAAAAAACCAAATACCATCTCGAGGAAACCCAAAGAAACCAAATAAACTGATGTAAAAGCAACAATCAAACTTTTTCAGATGAAATTATTGTTTCTGTTGCACACCGTTTTTTTCCTCAGTGTTACATTCAGTAATTGTTGTTTCGTTCCTTATCCAAATCTTATTTGATTCTTCAGAGATTGTTTTTTGTTTGGCGTTTTTGGAGGCAAATGTTTGGCTTTCTAAAAGTCTGCTTTATCATTTAATTCATGTCATTCACTCATTCATCTTAATATAATATTCCCAAATGCATTTTACTGCGTATTTTCCAGTACTTGTTAATGATTTTCCAGTACTTGTTAATGATAATATGCTTTTCATTCAAGATATAAGCATCATCCAGTGGCTTCAAGGTAGGCCCTGGAGGGGCGGCTTACCATACGTACATATATATAATATTTACTATACTATTTACATATATCACATATGTATATATATAATTTTAAAACATAGAATATATATATATATGTAATATTATATATTATATATGATATATATATATTATTATTTTCATGATGAAAACATAAATAAATAAATATATATATATATCATATATTATCCCAGCCAACACTATACACCTTTGTGTAGTAATATACACTGCTTCACAACTGCCTACATACTCCTTACATCCTACATCTATTACGGACACATGTGTCATAGTGTACTTATATACGACTCATTGCAAAGGGTGCCAATATACTATATACTACATATATAATACTATTAATACTCCCTGTAAACCCCTTAAATTAAATGCTGTTTATATATTCCCTATAAACTGGACATCAACCACTTACAGCTGCACAACACTGCCCATGTAGGACTGGTGCTGAGACCCTCCTCAGGCTACCGGGGGCGACTATCTAGCTGGGTGTGTGTGTGTGTGCGTGGGGATTCCTGATCATATACACATAGATATACATAGATTATATATATACACATACAAACACACACACACACACATATATATATATATACACATACAAATACACACACACACACATATATATATATATACACATACAAACACACACACACACACGCACACACACACATATATATATATATACACACGCAAATGTGATTTTTTTTTTTGTAATACATTCATATTATGCATCCAGTGAAACGCCGGTGGATTTGGCTGACCTTTCTGGAGTTGTTCTCCTCCTGCTACCTTGGCTTCAGAAAAAAGCAGACACGGGCGAAAGCGCCTTGTGATGTATACAAATGTGGTAAGCCCATGTAAACCCATATAATATAAACCCAACAATGAACCCTCTCCAATTTTACTAGAAATAATTAGATAGAACATAAACCCTCTACCCCTCGTCCTGTGATGTCCTGTGCGTCTCACCAGCGCCTAGCCTGGGCGGGCCTAGCGCCCAGTGGCGCCCAGGTGTCTCGTTGGGAATCGGTGGCGCCAATGGCAAGTGAGACGGCAGCTTTGGAGACAGTGACTCAAGAAGCATCTGCTTCTTGGATGTCCTCGTCCCACTGGTGGTTGAGATTTCTAGAGGGCTCCATTAAAACCAACCAATTGGTAGATGATCATCAATGACAGTTGCAAATCTGTCCTAACAGGATTGATTCAACGACTTTAGTCGTGGCGATTCCTGCTTTACCATCGGGATTTGTGTGATCTGTGATATGTTTTCTCCAAACAAATCGAATCGAATTGCTGTGACTAAGGTCCCGGCTATATCAAGTAATCCCGTCCCCCTAAAAAGTGTGGGTTTAAGATGGTTTAAGCATCAAAAGATCGGGATTTTGTATATGGTTTAATCATCCTGAGAATCGGATGACAGCAGGATATGTAGCGAATAGAATGTAACATACCATCAACAAGGCGCCTGAACATAAATAGCTTCAATGCTGAAGGAAAACAACCATAGAAGGGGTCATACTGAATATCCCGAATTGGGGCATACCCGTCATAAACTTCACTTTCCGATGCGAAAAATCAGGGGGTTTACTTGGATGAGTTTGAAACGTGTAATGGGGATCAGGAAGGCGATTCCGCAAGTCAGTTTAGGTTAGAGGTCGGAATCCCAAAACTGGCGAAAATGGCTTGAATTTGCACCACAAAACTGACTGGATATCAACAATCAATATTTACCACTATAACAAGCAACAATGGGTAAAACATTTACATGGAAGAACAATGTTTGTTGTTTTTCTCATATTTTCCTGTTTTTTCAGCAAGAATGGTAGAAATCGCCAAGGCGTCGGACATGGATGTGGCCGATGTTGGCTTCGAGTCCCTACCCGGCTATGCCAAGCTGTCATGCAATCAGTGCCTTTGAGATCTGGTGGTTGCACCATTTGGGAGATGCTGAATGTCTGGAAATGTCTGGAATATGTAGCACCAAATTGCCAAAATCATGGCCCAAATGGTGGTAAAAAAAGAACTTGGTCAGTTGAGTGGGGTTTAACATGGTTTAACCAACCAAAACCAGGCATGTTTGACAGAATAGTTATATATATACATACATATATATATATATATGTATATATATATATGTATATATATACATATACATATATACATATATATGTATATATATATATATATGTATGTATATATACATATATATATGTATATATATATACATATGTATGTATATATATACATATACACATAATATATATATACATATATATATATATACATATATATGTATATATATATACATATACACATATAATATATAATATATATACATATATATATACATATATATGTATATATATACATATACATATATAATATATATACATATATATATACATATATATATATATACACATATATATATGTATGTATGTATGTATCACCAACTTGATATGGTTGTGTCTACCAGTTGCGGAGGAACTTGTTGCTTTAGTCGTAGGGGCAATGGCGATGCCACATCCAGATCTGGTGGTTTCACAGATTTTCTGACGGTCACCTGACTTGGGAAGATGACCCAGACTGAAGACCCGGCCTGGTAAACATACAAAAAGCTATGGAAAATGCCCCATAGAAATAGATGGTTTACCATTCTAAAAAATGGTGATTTTCTATAGCTATGTTAAATTACCAGAGGGTAATCCAACATTGACATCACCTTTCCCAAATGTGGGAATGCTTCGGATGATGGACGTTGGACGCAAAGGTGGCCAAAGTAAGGACGATTCAATTGGGAGTTCTTGGACCCCAGTGCATATATGGGTGTGTCTGGATACTATCTTGCAATCTTTTTCACAGGTGAAATTGTTCAGACAATTCTAAGACCAATGGAAAATCATGGCGAAAATTATTTGGATTCGTTTCGGTGCCACCCCATTTCGGCAACCATATTTCTAGTGCAGTTTCTGCATATTCATAAGCAGCTTGCTTCCCGGTGTCCAGATACGATGGCAAGCCACCCCTTTATTGATCATAGTCAGGGTCATGGTGAAGACTGATGTTGGCATCTGTCTGTGGCAGTGAATCACATGGTGGTATCACCAGGTTTCATACCTTGGCGCAGGCTTTTTTTTGCATATCCACTGGTAATTTAACATAGCTATGGAAAATCATCATTTTTAAAGGGAAAATCCACTATAAATGGTCATTTTCAATAGCTATGTTAGTCATTACCAGAGGGTATCCACTGGATTGTCCAAAAGATGTGCGTAATCTTCAGATCAACCGTGACAATTACAGTGTGGAAAAATGTGATCGATGTGCAACAGCAATAGGAAGTTCTTGTGAGCATTACGGCTACATATCTTTTCTTTCCAAGCCCCAAAAACATCCCTATACTGTCCCATAGGTAGCATAGCTAGGTTGTTATAGGAACCCCAAAAAGGTAAGAACGTAATTCCTCACTATTTGGGTAGGAATATGTAGGAATATACTTTTCTATATCGTCTTTGGAGGTTGTATGGCAATGAAAAACCGCCATTTATTGTCAACGTGTCTAACAGGTAGCCTGTGGTAGGTAACCTCCAGTGATGTGTCTATCTATGGAAAATACTCATAGTTCCATGATTTAAAGATTGTGATGTTCAATAGCTTTGTTAAATTACCCGAGGTAAGCATTGGGATGTCCAAATCGGTTGGTTTGATTCTGTGCCAATGGGTTGAACTACGTTTGTCTCTGACACATGAGGATTCATATGGATTTAAACCGCCATTACGAAGGGGCTACATGGGGAATACCACCTCTATATATAATTAAATCTGATAATTAATGTAACTATTTTGATGGTTTCAACACCTTTTCACTTTCTACTTGATGATGATTACACAGTACAAATATGTACAAATAGATGAGTGTTAACCCATGGGTCACCACGGGTTTATCTCAAAATAGGCGGCGAAACAAACTTGACATGACCATTGGGCTGGATATGGCTGGATTGTTCTGGTACAATGATCCACTTTCAGTACCCACATGGCCAGTGATTAGGAGACATCCTCTGAAGGGAACTGCGCTGACTCAGGTGCTTATTCTTTGCTTCGCAGCAGGCTCTGAACACAGCAGCTGGTGGTTGTTTGTCTATAGCACCTTTCACAGAGATAGAACAGTAGCATCCAACCAAACTAGTAACTAGGTGTTCTCTTTAATATGTGCAGGGGAGGGCAGATCTGGAAGAGAAGTCAACATATGACTCATCCCTTTCACAGCGAGTCTCATTCAACTAGGGAAAGAAACTGGAAACACAAGATCCATAGGTTGAAGGTTCAATGTTTTATCACTCGCCTACAAACAGAGTACACCTTTGTGTGAAGGGTAGTTCGATGTTCTATAGTTTTGCCAGTTTGATGGGTTGCTTCCCTCTCCACTTTGAACATGTGAATGCTCTGTATATATATATATACAGTATTACATACAGATGAGCTACTGGGTGAAATGTCTAATCAAAAAAGTTATACAAAATGGAATGTAGATAGCAAGGTGGTCCGAAACCTGAAAAGGAAAAAACGAAACCGGGACCCAAAAAAGGAAGCCCGTGTGTTCATGATGTGTATTCATAATATAATATATATATATATACATATTACATATGTATGCGCGTGTGTGTGTACATATGTTGAAACAAGTCTATTGATTTATTGTTTTACGCGATGCACTGCGCAATTCCAAATATACCCTTGGCTGAACTTGTTGCGCAAACCCCATGGTTGGTATTCTGGGTGATTTTTCATGACCTCATGACCCGACCTCTCCGTAGCATCGCCCCAGTAGCATCGCATGCATACAAGAGAATGCGCTTCACATATCAACATACATAAACCACAAACCAGTATATAGACATCATAGGTGCTTAGTGATACAGCGTATGATACATGCATCCGCAATCTATAATCTTCTATCATATTCCCCCCCTCGATCATCGTTGCCAGGGATGCTCCAAGGGCTCCTCGTGTTCCTTCTGTCACCACCTGGTGACCGAGGAGGAAGCGCAGCTTGCGGCAGCCCGTCCACGCAAGGTGCGACGCAAGCGCATCAAGGCGAATCTCAAGGCGGAAATGGGATCGGAAAGCAACGAAAAATTGCATTTAACATCATTTAACCCAGAAATCTACGGCTTTCACCGTGGTTGAACTATGAAATATTGGTAATGGTAATTAAGGCACAGCGAATAGGATACGATACAACCAACCAAAAGTGGGTATTTAGCCGAGAATGTCATCAAACATGGCTAGCTGGGAAATTGCCGAAGTAAATGGAGGTTTTAATGGGGAAAACACCAGAAATTGCTAATTGATGTAATTGCCGATTGCCATGTTTCATTACCCGAGAGTAGCCAAGAAATACAGGGGAAATGGCTGATGAAGTCCCAAAAAATGGCCCTCTTTCACATCATCTTGGTGGTTAGTTGAACCATCCTGTACAGGTAGATGTGGAAAACGGACCGGCTGAACGACGTAAGTAGAACATTTTCCGGCGAAACCATGCGTTTTTGTTCAGTTTTCCACGAATCTTCTTTGTATGTGTGCCCGTGTTTTTTTCCAAGAAATTTAGGGAGTTAATAAACCATATGATTTAAGCATCAAATATAGGAATTTACGGCACAAAAAAGTTGATATAACCATCCAAATATAAGATTAGGATTATGGGGACACAATGGGGGATATAATTGGGATAAATGATGATGTAATGGGGATATAGTGGGGATATAGTGTGGATATAGTGGGGATACCGGGAGATGATATTGATATAATGGGGATATGACATGCTGATATGAAATGGGGAATTGGGATAGTACTTGGGGGTGCGCTTGAGGATATTAATGGATTGGGACATGCTGCCCCATAAGTCATATTCTTTTTGCCACAAATACCTATGCAGATCAAGTGGAATTGCACCCCCAAGTGACTGCGAGGTTTAACCGTAACCGTTTAACCATCAGAATATGGGAGATCAGAGAATCATCACAAGTAATATCCAATAACGGTGATATTTGGGTATAGTAACAATTAATTACTCTAATATTGGGAAGATTAACAGCCAATGATTACTGAAGAGAAACAATAATACCTCTCGTGTACTACCTAACTTATCTCAATTTTTGGATGATTTGGATGGATAGGGGTTCAACCATCAAACATGGGGTTTAGCCAGCACAATGAGGAATTTAGCCTGAAACCATGTAGACATCTCTGATATCTAGACATAGCTGGGTACATAGATGCCGTTTTCATCCATTTTCTTATTTGCTGATCAACAGAGGGGTCACCCGCTTTGTTCACAACTAGTTTTTGCGCGTGACAAGCGGTATACCAAACCATCCCCTCGACGCTCTTGGTTCGATATACAGCAGTAAGCAGATACCACGAGGATAACATATATATATATATGCATATACGGCTTGATGTATCTGTATCCGGTAATTTATACACTGAAGTTTAACAAAAACAAAAAGGTCATTTACCCTTCGGGAATCTACGCAAATCAAACAATAGTCACCATCCCTAGAACAGTGTTCCGTGAAATTGCATCGATTCGCATTGTCTCCCAAATTTGCTACGTTTATATAATACTCTGCTTCTCCAACCTGCTGTGTCCATTGCAGGTGTTCAACATGTCATTTGAAATGCAAAGAATTTTGCGGTTTTCTGCATGAGATCCACGCATCTCCTGTGCGTTCCCATTCAACCCTTGGCCGAATTCCCAATTTCTTTGCGCTGGATGTTCAATCTTTTTTTGACCGTGTTCTGGTGAAAACTCCCGACGCTGTCAATGCTACCATTCAATAAGCTAACAATAGCTACAGTAACATTTTGAAAAATCCACAATGTAGATGATCTTCTGCAGAAACTATGGAGGTTACGTCCAAATCATTGTCACATCCAATTGATTACTCAGTATCTGCACGTGTTGTTGGGTAATGACTGTGTGTTTAGCTTTTCTTTCCCAATTTTTCTGCATGTCACAGCACCAGATGTTCCCCGACTTCCCCGTTTTGCGAGGAGATGCTACAAAAGTTCCTTTGGCAGTTCACTTGCCGTGCTGGGATGTGAAGACATGATCGGGAATCAACATCTCGCCTTGAGTATTGGACAAAGTCACTTCCACTTCTTTTGGCTTCCAATTTTGTCAGAACTGATTTTTTATTTGAGCCACGAAAAAAACCTCAATGTATTGTTTATGTAAGGGAGTTGTACTGCATCACTTTCGCGAAAGAGAAATGCTGGGTCGCGAAAGATCGCGAAAGTAATTTGCTTCGCGAAAGGTCGCGAAAGAGAAGTTTAAAGATATTTCAAATTGGTTGTTTTGTTCAGTGGGAATGGACCAGTGGGAATGGACGGGAAGTTGACACAAGAGGTATAGTGGAAGCCTTGGGTCTCAGCTGTGGGAGTCGGGTGTCGCAGCTCGGGTTGTAAAGTGCGTTGAAGACTGTAGCCAGAGCTCAATTTAGATTAAGAATCTGCACTTGCCACTTTTGGCAGCCGAATTTCGCGAAAGATCCGCGAAAGATCCGCGAAATAACCGCGAAAGATGCAATGTCCCAAGTCCATCCGTCCACCTGGAAATCCCCATGTTTCTGGCAGTTTAATTTGACACTCGTGTGTGGTATCGAGCCAAGCAAGCAGCTCCCAAAGTCTAGCTTTGCCGCAGCGAAACACCATCTAGCTCTAGGTTTCAGCGGGCTTTGCTGGCCGCAGACCTGAATCCCCAACATTGTTTTCAGAGCCCTATCGAAAAGTAGCTGTGGAGCCAAGCAAGCAGCTCCCAAAGTCTAGCTTTGCCGCAACGAAACACCACCTAGCTGAAGGTTTCAGCGGGCCAAGAATCATGTCCACGATTACACGATTTCCCTTTCACCGCGAAAGGTCCGCGAAAGAGGTTGTTGTAGCAGTGGTTTCGCGAAAGCCGGCATTGAGGCCGCGAAAGTAAAACGAAAGGATTCGCGAAAGACCTTTGTGAGTACAAAGAGTTAGGATAGGGTTTTTTTCACAGCTCATTTGAGTATCCAAACGTCTCTTTCAATGATTGGTGTCAGCAATGGTGAAGCGACCACCCACGTGGAATTGAACTCCTCAAAATAGCTAGGTCTGGGCCAAAAAGGTGTGCCCCAATTTGCCAAGGGTGGGAGAGTTCAAGAACCTTAGCAGCTTCGTTGACCAAATCAAACTGCCAGGATGCAGGTACAAGGATACAACGGCGGATGGACCCCGTTTTCTTGCAGGGTTTCCAGTTGTATCCAAAATTTGCCTTTTTTCTTAAGAACAAGTACAAGTCGTGCCAAGCTGAACTAGGCTCAACAGGTGCACAGCCAACGCCCAACTTGGGTTGAGCTGTGGCCAAAAGCGCGAATGCGAAACAAGAGCACCACTCCACAGTAGCTGCCAGCAACGGAGGAAAAATAAAACACTGGACAAGCACTTCACTTCACGTCGCCACGACAGCTGTGCTCTTGGCTAAAAAAAGGAGAAGAGGCGCCAGCCCAAACCCGCTGCGTCAAGCGGGACCAAGCTAAAGCAAACCATGCCGCATGACATGCAAGTCAGAGCTTAGTCCGACCGCCTGATCAGCAAGTGGCTGCAGTGGAGGATGGTTGATGCAAGCTAGGCTCACAGGACGCGCAAGACCACGCAGCCAGTCAGAAACCGTTCACGAAGCCAAACCCACCGCGGCCGCAGCTGCAGATTCGGAAGGGGCTTGCGCCAAAGCAGCATCAGCACGTCGCTGCAAGGCAGCCCTTCCACGGCAGCCGCGCACCAGCACGCAGGCTTCTTGAAGGAACTCAGCAAAAAGGGCCGCTGGGTCAGATTGTTCCCGGGCAGCAACGGCACGAGTGATGAATTCAGCACTTGGCTGGTAGCTGGGCCCCAGGTACCTGTAGTCTCAGCGACCAAAGGGGTGAAGGCCAGCCCTTGTTGATAGCAAATGGAAGCTGTGTCCAAAATGAGCCATCTTGACAGCAGAGTATGCCGTCGCCGCAGCACCTCCTTGCCGCCCTGCTTCCACTAAGTACAGATCCGTTTTAGCGACAGGGAAAAGCATGTACGACATCAGATTGGGTTTGAAACTACCATCTGGTTATTTAACAGTTTGCCATGGATTTTTTTTTTTAATGGGTAAACCATCTATTTCTATGGGCCATCTATACCATGGCTATGTTAGTCATAACCAGAGGGTAATATTGTACACTCAAAGCGGGTCAGATTTCTGCCAGTCGGCAGGGATGTGAACGGCCATGAGGAAAAAAGCTGTCTGGTAATTTTCTGTAACATGATTTACTGTAACATAGCTATTGAAAATCAGCATAGGAAAATCATCTATAAACATATAGGCTGTGTTCTGCGTAAGAAATGACCGGGCCGGCGAATCTTGAGCAATTGGGCCAAAGCCTGAGGATTTTTCACAGAACTCTGTTGCACTCATGTTTACATGGGTTTGTCTTCAAGTTCTGAGGACATTTTCAACTTTGATGTAATTTTCTTATCGTCATTACTTGTCATTTTCCTCATTAAGACTGCATGTAGCATTTTGTGATATTTTTATGGGCATCCCTATATTCAGACACATTTATTTTATCATTAGATTATATTATGTTCATATTATGTCAATGAAAACGGGCTTGCGCCTTGTCCCTAGCTTTCAGATGTCAATGCGCTCGCCATGGCAGCAAACTCATTCTATGAAGAGTCCTTTTAATCACGTGTGGGAATTCCATGGAATTGGTGTGGAGCTTCCATTCGAATTTTAAACCAAGTTATATTTATAATATATATAGATATATATATATATGTGTAGATATATGTTTATTTATAAATCTATGTCATATGTACTACATGTATCTACATGTGTATTTAAGTGAATTGAAGTGTCTCATTTGTTCATCTTTTTTTATCTTTTTTTCCCAGCTCCAGGACTGCAACTCCCCCAGGTTGAACGCATCGAACCAGCAGCCTGAGGAGGTCCTGCGTGCTCTTCAGGCTGAGGCCCAGAGGAACCAGCAGCCTGGACAACGACACGGGATGAAATGGATCAATGGTGCCTTTTTCACCATTTGAAAAGGCAATTTTAATGATGATGTTATAAGTTATAAATGCACACACACACATATATATATGTATATATAATATATATATATATACACATGCGATGTTATGCAATTTTCATGAGTTTTCATGATGTATATGGTTTGTTTTTTGGGGAATTCTGGCCAGATCTGTCTGAAAATCGTTAGTCTATTCCAGTCTATTCCCAGAAGTGGATCATGGGAAAATTAGCAGGAAACACCCGTGTTTGATGGAATTTGATGGTAAACACTAGCGCTCGATTTTCCCACTAATCCATTGAGATACCCCCAATTCTGGCTGAACATAGTTTACCCGCAGGAACCCCGCAGAAAAATCCGGAAACTACTCGTAGTTGCATTTGTTGACATTGCATTACAGTACATACACATGCAGTACATACAGGACATACAGCACATACAAGACATACAGGACATACAGTACATACAGTACGTCAGTACGTACAGTACGTACAGTACAGCATAGCACAGCACAATATAGTACCGTACCGCACCGCACTGCACCGCACCGCACAGTACCGTACCATAATATATACACATACATACATAAAGTACATAAAGTACATACAGTACATCCAGTACATACAGTACATACATACAGTACATGAAGTACATACGTACTTCGTACATACATACATAATCATACATAATCATACATAATCATGCATAATCATACATAGATACATACATACATACCTACCTACCTACATACATACGTACATACATACATACATACATACATAGATATTGAATGTAGGCATCCACAATCTTCCTCATTTTCGAGTTAGCTCAAAACATGTAGCTGGCTCCATTTCAGAAGGGGTCATGTGTTTGACTTTAATGTTGTGCCGCTGTCTAAGCAGATTTGGCCCAAAACGTGGCTCCTAAATTTCTGGGCTGCAACAGGGGTACCATCTCTATTAAACGAATCATTTGGGACTGAACCTGGCAATTGAACACATTGGGAAAAATTTGCGGGCTCGCTCAAGTGGAACGAGCTAGCTCAGCAACAACGCGCTAGATCAAACACATCGCTCTAGCTCGATGGCATCGAGCTGGCTCAATTTTTTTGACCGAAAAAAAAGCCCCAAAAAAAAAACTCGAAAAAATTGAGCCAGCTACGTCACGTTGAGCTGGCGAACGAATGTGAAAGCTAAAAAACGAATACACAATATGTATTGGCCGGGATGATGACGGCATACCGAGCTGGCTCAAGGGCATGTAGCTGGCTCATGTTTTTTTTGTTTTTTTCCTCTCCGCTCAAAAAAAATTGAGCCAGCTACGAGGCGCTGAGCCAGCAACGAGACATTGAGCCAGCTACGTGGCACTGAGCCAGCAACGAGGGAATGGTGAATCTGTACTGTACGGGATCGATGGATTTTCCGATGCAGCCTTTGCAGTTCCAACAAATCAAATTATTGATTAATTCTGGCACCATATGAGATAAAATAGAAGACTGGCAGTCTATACATATGTATACATATAACCCCAACCGTATAATTATGATCAATCTGAAGCAACACCAGTTTTCTTGAGGGAGACGCGTGCCCTTGAGCTGGACGGAGATTGGGAAAAGCAACTTTCGAAGATAGATAAATAGATAGATAGATAGATAGACAGATAGATAGATACATACATGGATACATACATCATTGATACGTACATGGATACATACATGGATACATACCTGGATACATACATACATACATACATACATACATACATACATACATACATACATACATACATACATACATACATACATACATACATACATGGATACATACATACATACATGGATACATACATGGATACATACATACATACATGGATACATACATGGATACATGGATACATGGATACATGGATACATACATACATACATGCATACAGGCATACATACATACATACATACATACATAGATACATACATACATACACACAGGCATACAGGAATACAGGCATACAAGCATACAGACATGGACACATACAGTACAGACACACGCACATATATATATATATATACATACACACACACATATACATCCATACACATACATCCATACACAATTACACTCACATACATATAAATATACATTTACAAATACTTATACATATGCACGTGCATACCTACATCCTCCACCTATGTAAAATTTTGTTCGTTTCGTCAATTTCACTCGATTGCTGGAAAAAAACCTTGGTTTAAACAAAACTCCGTCGCAGTGTTCTCTATAATATCCCAGCTTCAGGCCCCACATGGTCCGTTATTTTTTCATTTCCCACAACTTGGTTTAAAGAATGTGAAGCGTTATTGCTCCGCTTAAATGGGGTTCGAAGCGATTCTGTTTTCAGCATGTAATATTCTAAACGCTCACAGGAATCAATCTTGGGATCCATTTTGTTGATAACCTGCTCAGTGTGCACCCACGACATTATGCATACAGTGATTGTCATTGATATAAATGAACCCTTGAGATAACGCACTTGAATGACAGGATATTTTTGTTGTTTCGATTTACACCGTTTTGGCGGCAATTTACGCGATTTTGGCGGCAAATGACGCCGTTTCGTTCCAAACCCGGCAAGGAGCACCTGAATCACACTGTTGTTCCAAGAATTTCCAATAATGCTTTCAAACATGTTTTTCCTTTGGACATCTTATGGACCGTACTTCAAAAGTAGATGTCCTGTTGATTTCCGATGTTTTTGTTTGGAGAGCCAAACTCGAAAGCACAGAATTGCGGGAAGTGAGTGACACGTGCTGGGCTGCTCTTTGATGCTTCGAAGCTGTCATTTGAACTTTCCAGAAACATTTTAACAAACAAACGCTCTGGAAAGAACGTCGCAGCCAACAAAAAACACCGCCAGCACATAAAAAGTAGGTTTTTGGCTCAACTGATAAAAAAGAAACGCCTTGGAAGATGGAGGTATACGTATATATGTATACGTATACACACACATATATATATATACATATTACTTTAACATACATCTACTTTAACATACATATACTTTAACATGCACATACGTACATACACATACGTACATACACATACGTACATACACATACGTACATACACATACCTACACAGACATACACCAGACATACAGACGGACATACATACACACATACGCACATACATACACACATGCATGCACACATACATACACAATCATACGCACATACATACGCACATACATACACACATACATATACACATACATTTACACATGCATACGCGTACATACAGATACATACACATACATACACATATACATATATATATACACATACATACACATACATACACATACATACGCTTACATACACATACATACACATACATACGTAACCACACATACGTACCCAATCATACGTACGAACGCACACAAATATTTTTATATGTCTCACATGCACATGTTGAAAAGTGTGTTTTTAAATATATGTATGTATAGCGGAGCTTCGGTTTCGGCAGTCGTTTTTCCTTCCAATCAATTGATATTTGAGGCCTAACTATTCAAAATTGCTTGTTCGTTTGGAAATTGGGCCATCCAAGAAATCCTTCACATTTCATCAAAGTCGCCTAATTCCATGGTTCCCCCGCAAATCGATCGATTGAAAGCGAGGCAGAAACTTGCATTTTGATTCAAAGTTTGTAAGGAACCGCCCAACAGATCAAAGAATCACTCTGAACATTACCCATTATGTCCCAAGATTCAACCAAATGCACGAGTGTGTTGCCACATAAGACAGAAGACGTGCGGTTGCTCAACAAAAGAATGACCCTCCCAGCATTGCTAAGCAGAAAGGATGATAGAAACACCGGGAATCCATGGATTGAAACCGCGGAATTTATCCATGGAAAAAAGGTTTCAACCGTGGATTTTCCCAAGAAAACACATCCATTCGAAATCCTCAAACATATTATCATGATATCCCAATATATCACAGTAACAAATCCTAGGACAGATCCCATCATACCACCAAGTATTGCTGGTCAAATCCCAAAAACTCCTCAACATGTCCCGACTATTCTCCCATAAACCAGATGTATTTGGCAACTAAAATCTATGAACTGAAAAAGATCCCAAGAAAACCCACCCATGGAACCTCCAGAAATCTCCCAGGTACGCGCGCTTGTTAGGGCAACACTTGGTGGACCGTTGGTTGGACGACAAGGCCCGTGCCTCACGGAGGGCGGCAGTGTTATCTGCCCCGGCAGCCAGCGTGCCTGCGGGGCTGATCTCCAGTGGCACGAGCAGCAGCGCGAGCGGCAGCGCGAGCGGCAGCCCTGAGGCCAATGGCAGTGATGCGGCAACTTGGAAGAAACATGAAGAAACTGGGTAAACCCAAGTTGATGTAACTATTCCATACTTAATCCAAGTAAGTGGGCAATAGTGGTTGTTACTATTTGAAATGAACACTACTGTACCTGTTCAGTATTTAACTAGGGTATTATTCAGTATTATGTATAGTGATTCCAGCTGGTGTGTAGTTTTTGGGGATGGTAACACTCCTTTTCCCTAAGGCCTAATAGCAATAGGTGGCGCTCTATATATTTAGCCAACAGCTACATACATACATACATACATACATACATACATACATACATACATACATACATACATACATACATACATACATACATACATACATACATACATACATACATACATACTACATACATACATACATACATACATACATACATACATACATACATACATACATACATACATACATACATACATACATACACACACACATATATATATATATATTCACATATATTTATGTACATGAATGTATTGTTAATAGGGTTCTAAACATTTCTAAACCAACTTATACCTGGGGCTCCGCCAAATAATAAACACCTGGAGTGGTTTTCACTTATCATTTGGTGCAGGTTTTGGATGAGGGGGTTACAATGTTCAGATGAAGGCTAGCTAGGAAAGTGCCGCAACCCACCAAATCCTACCGGGCCCATCTGAATTTGTAGATGATGTATATATATGCATAGTTATATATATGCATAGTTATATATAATATTCTGGCAAAGTTTCACTGGGTATATAACTGGGTAAACCAACTGGTTATCCTTAGATGGCACCAATTGGCATAGAGCGCCGGAAACAGAACTAGGAATAAAACGGCTTCCAATTCCTAGCAGCACTGCTTGTCGGGTTTCAATCTCTGAGTCTGAGACTGGTCATGGATCCAACCCCCTCAAAACCAGAATGAAGCCCTGGAACTTGGAACCCTTGCTGCTGTTGGCTCGCAAAGCGGGTGTTATAGCATGTTATAACCTCTTACTAACCAGTGTGTTAGGTTCCAAAGAAATCCAATGAACAATCCCGTAGAGTTTCCAGTAAGTAAACAAACATGCCTATTGAAGATCATTTTGAGTAGGTAGATGCTGTACTCTATAAATGGCCAGTTATCCTTCGCTATGTTAGTTTACTGGAGTCACCCAGCATGTAAAACGGGGTCGCTGGGCATTGTGGCGTATTTTGACCGTGGTGCGTATCTTGTCGCGTGTTAGAATCGTGTCAGAAACAATATGGAAGCCACGAACCCGAATGTATTCACGTTCTTGGACTACGAGTGCAAACCTCTGCAATAGGAAAACGAACCTTTTTTTGCATGCATCGTGCGCTCATATCGTCTCAGCGAACGCACCTGAGTAACAGTTCACAAAGAGACAACTAACCGGCACAACAACATCACCACCAGCACAACGAAATCACAACCAGCACAACAACACCACCGGCGCAATGAAATCACAACGAAATCACCAGCGCAACGAAATCACCAGCGTAACAAAATCACCAGCACAACGACATCACCAGCACAACAACATCACCAGCACAACAACATCACCAGCACAACGAGATCACCACCTGCAACACTCCACACTTTACCCACTGCACACTCCACACTCCACACTCTACACTTTACACTCAACACTCCACACTCTACACTTTACACTCCACACTTTACACTCTACACTCCAAACTCCACACTCGACACTTTCTACTCCACACTCCGCACTCTACACTTTACACTCCACACTTTACACTCCTCACTCCACACTCTACACTTTACACTCCACACTTTACACTTTGCACTTTACACTCCTCACTCCACACTTGACACTCCACACTTTACACTTTACACTCCTCACTCCACACTCAACACTTTGCACTCTACACTTGACACTCTACACTCGACACTTTACACTTTACACTCCACACTTTCCACTTTACACTCCCCACTCCACACTTTACACTCCACACGCGACACTTTACACTCCCCACTCTATACTTTACATTCTACACTTTACACTCCACACTTCACACTCTACACTCCGCACTTTGCACTTTACACTCCACACTCTACACTTTACACTTTACACTCCGCGCACCACACTCCACACTCGACACTTTCCACTTCACACGCGACACTTTACACTCCTCACTCCACACTCAACACTCTACACTCCACACTCCTCACTCCACACTCCACACCCAGCACAATCTACACTCTACCTACTGCACACTCCACACTTGACCCACTGCACACTGCACACTCCACACTCCAAACTTTACACTCCACACTCCTCACTCCTCACTCCACACACTACACTCCACACTCCACACTCCACACCCCACACTCCACAACACTCCACAACACTCCACACACCACCACACTCTTTACCCTACACACACCACACTCCTCACTCCACACTCCACACTTTACACTCCACACGCCACACTTTACACTCCACAATCTTTACTTTACACTCCGCACTCCACACTCCACACCCTACTACACTTTCCACTTCACACTCCACACTCCACACTTTACACTTCACACTCCACACTGTACACTCTACACTCTACACTTTACACTCTACACTCTACACTCCACACTCTACACTTTACACACTCTACACTCCACACTCCACACTTTACACTGTGCACTCCTTACCTTACACAAGTTTGCACAAACTACTTCCCAGTACTACTGTGTACTACAAAGCTTGCACAAAGTCGTTGTACTACAAAGCTTGCACAAATCACTTCCCAGTACTACTTTGTACTACAAAGCTTGCACAAAGCACTTCCCAGTACTACTGTGTATTACAAAGCTTGCACAAACTCCTTTCCAGTACTACGTTGTACGATAAAGCTTGCACAAAACTTCCCAGTACTACTTTGTACTACAAAGCTTGCACAAAGCACTTCCCAGTACTGCTGTGGACTACAATTGACTACAAAGCTTGCACAAACTACTTCCCAGTGCTACTTTGTACTACAAAGCTTGCACAAAGCACTTCCCAGTACTACTTTGTACTACAAAGCTTGCACAAAGCACTTCCCAGTACTACATTTTACTACAAGGCTTGCACAAAGCACTTCCCAGTACTGTGTACTACAAAGCTTGCACAAACTACTTCCCAGTACTACTTTGTACTACACAGCTTGCACAAAGCACGTTCTAGTACTACTGTGTACTACAAAGCTTGCACAAAGTACTTCCCAGTACTACTGTGTACTACAAAGCTTGCACAAATTACTTTCCAGTACTACTTTTGACTACAAAGCTCGCACAAACTACTTCCCAGTATTACAAAGCTTGCACAAAGCACTTCCCAGTACTACTGTGTACTACAAAGCTTGCACAAATTACTTTCCAGTACTGCTTTGTACCACAAAGCTCGCACAAACTATTTTCCAGTATTACAAAGCTTGCACAAAGCACTTCCCAGTACTACTGTGTACTACAAAGCTTGCACGAAGCACTTCCCACACTTTACACTTTACACTTCACACGTTGCACTCCAGACTCCACACTCTACACTCTACACTTTACACTCCACACTCTACACTCCACACTTTGCACTTTACACTTTGCACTTTACACTCCGCACTTTACACTCCGCACTTTACACTCCACACTCCAAACTCTACACTTTACACTCTATACTTTACACTCTACACTCCACACTTTACACTACACTTTACACTCCACACTCTACACTTTACACTCTACACTCCACACTCCACACTCGACACTTTCCAAACTCCACACTCCACACTCAACACTTTACACTCCACACGCGACACTTTACTCTCCACACTCCTTACCTCACTCCACACTCCACACTCCACACTTTACACTCCACAGTCCGAACTTTACACTCCACAGTCCACACTTTACACTACACACTCTACACTTTACACTCTACACTCCACACTTTACACTTCACACTCCACAGTCCACACTTTACACTTTACAGTCCTCACTCCACACTTTACACTCCACACTTTACACTTTGCACTTTACACTCCTCACTCCACACTGTACACTCCACACATTTTGCAGTCCACACTCCACACTTTACACTCCACACTCTACACTTTACACTCCACACTTCACACTCTACACTCCACACTTTACACTTTACACTCCACACTCCACACTCTACACTTTACACTCTACACTCCGCACACCACACTCCACACTCGACACTTTCCACTCCACACGCGACACTTTACACTCCTCACTCCACACTCAACACTCTACACTCCACACTCCTCACTCCACACTCCGCACTCCAGCGCAATCTACACTCTACACTCTACACTCTACACTCTACACACACCACACTCCACACTTCACACTCCACCACACTCTACACTCTACACTCTACACTCTACACTCTACACTCTACACTCTACACTCTACACTCTACACTCTACACTCTACACTCTACACTCTACACTCTAGACTCTAGACTCTAGACTCTACACTCTACACTCTACACTCTACACTCTACACTCTACACTCTACACTCTACACTCTACACTCTACACACACCACGCTCCACACTCAACACTTTACATCCCACACGCCACTCCAAACTCCTTACTTTACACTCCGCACTCCACACTTTACACTCCACACTCCACACTTTACACTCCTCACTCCACACTCTACACTTTACACTCCACACTTTGCACTTTACACTCCTCACTCCTCACTCCACACTTGACACTCCACACTTTACACTTTACAGTCCTCACTTTACACTCCTCCATCCACACTTTACACTCCACACTCTACACTCCACACTTTCCCCTCCACGCTTTCCACTTTACACTCCTCAATCCACACTCAACACTTTACACTCCACACTTTACACTCCACACTCCACACTCTACACTCTACACTTTACACTCCACACTCCACATTCCACACTCCACACTCCACACTTTACACTCCACACTCCTCACTCCACACACTATACT